AGAAACTGGAAAATGGGCCAGGCAGTCATTAGGATTTTTTTCCGTATATTGAATTGATTGAGCGATCGAGTTAGTTACTTACATAACATGTTGTGGATTCCAGAGAATGGAGTAAGTGTGGAAATCCTTGGTGGGGTCGAACCACAAGTGAAACTGCTGCTCTCGGTCGCCCTTCCCCTGAGCAAACACATTGGTGTGCAGAGTATAAGGCTCTCCAGTCACATTCCCGAGGAATTCAAAATCAATCTCGTCGTGTGTCGGTCCTTGCGATGATAACTGTAAACAAATACCAAATCAATTAAAAATGATCTTAACTGCTAACAAATTGGAGATCAAGAGAAAGCCAAGATTAGCTTACGAAAAATGTGGTGACCGTGCCCGCAGAATTTCCAGCGACAAGCTTGATCTGGACATCGAGCCTGCCGTAGAGATACTCGTGCGTGGATTCGAAGCCAGAGCCAGAGTACTGGTCCAGAGATAGAGATAGTTGCTTCCCGCTGTCGAAAATCTTTCCTCGGCCATCGCCCCAACTGATTCTGATGTTATCGGTGAAGCTACCAGCACTGGAAAAGCTTATGAGGAAAGAAGAGGACACTAGCGCTAGAGAGAATGCTAGCCTTGGAATTGAAGTAGAAGGAGACATCACTGGAGATATTACTGGATTAATAGTATCGTTAAGTGATTTGAGTTTGAGTGCTAGCTTCCTCTAATTGCGGGCTGTTTATAGATGTGAGGTTCCGAGTAACAAGAACTAATTAATTGAGAAGTAATAAAAGATTTGTAGGCTGGTGGCAACTGTTGCCGCGTTTGGTCCCATGATTTTTTCAAATTCCATATCTATTCATGGGTAATTGCGTATAAGCCCCGTGTAATTCTACTATCGCAGATAGTCCTGTGAGTGAATTTGCTTTAGTCTTTTATCTTGAAGAGGTTTATTTGACAATGGCAAGTTGACCAAATTGGTATATTTTGTTTACCCATAGTGACAGGTTGGCATATAATTTTTTCCCGGTACCACATTGGTATATTTTCTTTCCTCCGGCGACAAATAGGCCATAAGTTTGGTCGGATCCAATTTTTCGATGATTTTTTACACATGACGGCTCACGTGGTGCATATGTGGCCGCAACGTGGCATCCAGCGTGGCGTTGTTAGGATGACTTCGTAACCGCATCTCGTATCTTCATTATTTCCCTCTTTCCTCGGAAAATCTTGCGTGATGCTAATTGAAGAAGAAGAAGGAGCGGAATTGGAGCAGCACGATCTCTTCGACGACTCTGACTACGCCGCCTCTCAATTCCAGGTAAGCCCTAACCCTACCTCCTCTCCGATCTCGATCGATCGAATTGATCAAATTCGTTGGCGCCCACATTTTAAACATAGGAAGTGAAAAAAAGATCAACCAGAGGAACAACTAATGTCCAAGATTGGAGCACTCACAACTATATAGAGAAAAGACTCTGATCTAAACTCCCCTACAACAAGGAAGCACACCCTACTGCTCGGGGTCCACCATTACATTCGTGGCTCTCTATGGGGGCTCCAACTTCATCCTAATTAGTACCATCTAATCTCATCCCAATATCAAGCGTGATCAAACAAGCCAAGACAAACTATGGAGTCTTTGAGTCCCCGAATGAATGTTGGAGATAGAGATGATATAGACACTGATCTATTCTTAGACCTCTTAATCCAAGGTTTCACATGTAATGATACTTTTGAACCATATCTTTGTCCTTATATATGACCATACATTTGTTTAAAAAAAGTGGTCATTAATTAGATAGGGACTGCTTTATTCATTTGACGTTACTATTCATCAACTTATAGCCAATACCATTAGTAGCAGTTACTTGTCAGTGTAATCAGAAAGAGAAATAGATATTAATCAGATAGGGATTGACTTATTCATTCCAATTATAGGCCATCAACTAATATTCGATATGATAAATCGTAAACCACTAGTCAATTATATATGTCACATGACTCCAACCCCTCGCCAAAACTCTTTAGTTTGTAGTGTTAGTTTGTAGTGAGGTTGAGGGCAGTACTTTACATATATTCTACTCCCTGCTTCAAAAGCTAACCCCTTCCCTCTTCTACTCCTCTGCTCGCCCTCTATCTACCTTCCTCCCTCTATCACCTTCTCCTCCTCCATCCTCACCTCCTTCCTCTGTTTCCTCTAGCGGAAGCGGACTCAATCCACAATAAGTTGGTAAGCAACGCGAGAAGATCACCATGAGCACAATTCACAATGAAAACGACCAAAACCAATCACAAACACAGAGAATTTACAAGGTTCGGCAAATTGCCTACATCCACGGGGAGAGAATGGGGAGATTTCACTATATGGAGGAGAAGTACAATGAGTTACAACTCTCTCAAACAATCAAAATAATCCTAACCAATAAGATCTCACTCCCTCTCAATAATCTCCCTCTCAAAGTGCTCTCTTTTCTCTGTTAAATCTTTCTCTTTTAACCCTAGAAAACGTGTTTCTATTTATATCAAACTCAAATCCAAAACTGGCTAGGAAACAAATCGGCCTAATTACCTGCTATCGGTCGATTGATGAAGCCTCATCAGTCGACTGATAGGTGTTCATCGGTCGACTGATACCCCTCCATCAATCGACTCCTCGTGTGCACGATTCTTGTAAACAAAACAAACTTCTGTTCAGTCCACCAATTGTCTCTGGTCGATCAACCGACCAGAGAGTCTTTTCAGCTACCGTTTTCTCCTGAGTTTTGTACCTCTTTCAGCAATTCTCCACCTCAGCGAAGTGTTCCCAAAACTGAGCCGACACCAATACGAGCACCAATGTGTTGTCTCTCCAAATCCGTCTACACTAATATGGTTTTCTATATACCCCCTCTCCCAATGGATCAAGCCGCCCGTAGTTTATCCAAATGGCCTCGACAGGTCTCAACAAGCACGAATTTGTAACAAGTTTCTACAATGATCGAACTTGTTGCTAGGGACCACCTTCGTGAGCATATCTGTTAGATTTTCTTTTGTGTGGACATTCATAAGCTCCACATCCCCATCTTTAAGAACATCCCGAATGAAGTAATAACGAACATCGATGTGCTTCGTCTTCACATGAAAAATTTGATTCTCCGCCAAATAGATAGCATTCATGCTATCACAATGAATAGTGACAGACCGCTGCGAAACATCAATTTCTTCCAAAAGTCCTCTAAGCCAAATTGCCTTCTTAACAACCTTAGTAATCGCCACGTACTCTTCCTTTGTCATCGACAAAGCAACTGTAGACTGTAAGGTGCATCTCCAATACACCAGCGCACGAGTCAAAGTAAACACATACCCTGTCGTCGACTGGAGTTTGTCTAAATCTCCAGCATAGTTTGAATTGATATAACTAATACACAACTGCCCACCATAAGTATCCTGTTCAAACACCAAACCAACGTTGAGAGTACGTCGAATGTACCTCAAAATCCACCTCACGACATCCCAATGACCCAAACCCGGGTCATGCATGTATCGTGAAGCCATGCTAACTGCCTGTGATAGATCCGGCCTCGTACATACTATGGCGTACATCAAACTTCCCACTGCACTCGCATAAGGAGTCTTCAACATCAACTCTCTATCTTCAACTGACTTTGGTGAAAGATCAGCTGAAAGCTTTAAATAGACTCCCAAAAGTACATTGACTGGCTTCGTCTTCATACTCATATTGAATCACTTTAACACCTTCTTCAAATAAGCCACATGTGTCAAACAAATTCTTCCCATTTATCTCTATCTCTGCCGATCTCCATCCCAATATGCGCTTTGCTTCAACCAAATCTTTCATCTCAAACTCACTTGAAAGCTGTATCTTCAATTCATCTATGGCGGATCTGGAAATGAAAGCAACCAACATGTCATCGATATAAAGCAACAAATAAATGTACGCACCTCCATGCAACTTTCTATAGTACATGCAATGATCAAACTGGCTCCTAATGTAGGACTTGCCGATCATAAATCCATCGAATCGCTTATACCACTGTCTTGGAGATTGCTTCAACCAGTATAGTGACTTCTTCAATCTATACACCAATTTTTCATTCCTTACAGCTCAAAACCCTAATGACTGAGTCATATAAATTTCTTCATCAAGATCACCATGAAGAAAAGTTATTTACATCTAACTGATCTAATTCCAATCCATGTTGTGCCACCAAAGCTAGTAGATCTGAATTGAAGAGTGCTTCACTACTGGAGAAAAAACCTCATTGTAGTCAATACCTTCTTTCGGTGCATAACCCTTTGCTACCAACCTAGCTTTAAACCTTACTGGAGTGCCCTGAATGCCCTCCTTCTTGGTATACACCCATTTGCAACCAAATGCCTTCCACCCCTCTAGAAGCTCGACAAGCTCCCATATGTCATTCTTCTAAAGAGACTCCATCTCTTCCCGCATAATTTCCTGCCACATATCAGCCTTTGAACTCTGTTCAACATCTCTGAAGGTAGTAGGAACTATCTCATCAACACTCTCCACACGAAGTGCATAAGCAACCACTATATCTGTATACCTCACTGGCAACCGTATGTATCGTTTGGGTCTCCAAACTACAATAGAATCCGGAACCTGAGCCGTCGGTCCCTGATCCTGCTCTGTTGTACCTGTATCCTCCAAATCATCACTATGCTCGGTTAGCGTCACCTCAGTCAGCACTCTAATGAATACGGTACCATCTGGATATTGTGAAGCTGCATTAATCTCCTGTATCCTCCAAATCATCACTATGCTCGGTTAGCGTCACCTCAGTCAGCACTCTAATGAATACGGTACCATCTGGATATTGTGAAGCTGCATTAATCTCTACCACCTACGATATCTCCTCTGTCGGGGTGCTCTTCACCTGATGAGAGCTGAGAAGCTTCAAGATCAAAGCCTCATTAAAAGTAACGTCTCTACTCAGCACAATCTTCTTATCAACTAGATCCCAAAGCTTGTATCCTTTCACACCACACTTGAATCTAACAAATATGGTTTTTCTAGCTCGATGTTCCAATTTATCAGTCCTCACATGATAAAATGTACGGCACCCATATACTTTGAGCAAATCATAATCGCTTCCTGGCTCTCTCGGCCACATATTCATTGGAGTCTTTTCCTCTATTGCAGATGCAGGTAGCCTATTAATGGGGTGGCTTACATATGAAAGTGCCTCAACCCAAATGATCTTCTCCAAACCACTCTGCGATAACAAACATCGGATATTCCCCAGTAAAGATCGATTCAATCTCTCTGCCACTCCATTCTGCTACGACGTATGACTAACTATGAAGTGTCTCTCTATGCCCTCATATCGACATAGCTGTTGAAAGGGGTCTGAAGTATACTCGCCGTTGTTGTCGGATCTCAACGCCTTGATCTTTCTCCCAGTCTATAGTTCTAATCTCCTCTTCCACTCCACAAATAACTCTAGGACTTCATTCTTATGCTTCATGGTGTACACCCAACAATGCCTAGAATAGTCATCCATAAATATGATGAACCAATATCGACCACCAAGTGATGTCGTCTTAGCGGGACCCCAAACATCCATGTGCACGTAGTCCAAGATGCTTATCGTCCTATGTACGGCTATCCCAAACATTACCTTTGTCTTCTTGCCAAGAACCCAGTTCTTACATAATTCTATCTTCCTACTCTTGGCTCCCTTTAATAGCTCATGCTTGCACAAACCCTGCAGTGACTTTTCACT